GTGTATCGGGGTCTAGTCCATGTTGTATCAAATTTTCAATAATTTAAATGGTATCAGGTACCGGGACCTTGGTGAACAGGGAGACCACATCGAAGCTGACAAGGATATCGTCAGGGGACAATACAACGTCTTTGACCATAGAGACCAAATGAGCTGAGTTAAGTTCTGCTGAGGAGGTCTTGCCAGTGAAAGGTAGCAAGGTATCTGACAGAAAAGGTGCTAGCTTATAGGTTGGGGAGTTGATCGTGGACACGATGGGTCGTAGTGGAGTGCCTTCTTTATGAATCTTGGGGATACCATAGCATCTAGGGGGTCTTTCAGCAGAAGGTTTTAAGGAGGGACGTTTAGTTGGCTCGATTAGGGAGGTCGAACTTGTGATGATCTTGTTAGTTTTTATGGTTAGGCTATTAGTAGGGTAATTTTTAACTTTTTGAGTAACGTCCATCGTTGAGTAGGTTCTGGATTTTGTTGTTGTACGAATCTTTATCCATAATTACAGTCACGTTGCCTTTGTCGGCTGAGAGAATGACTATATCACTTCTGTTTTTTTAATTCGCGAGTTCAGAGCGTTCATTTTTGCTGATGTTGCTAAGGGGTTTCTTAGCATTCTTAAGAATAGTGGCTATTTCAGTTCTCGTAACGTCTGCTTGGATGTGTCCTATACCTTTTAGGGCCACATCGACCTGAGAGATGATATCATTTACAGGAATATGTTTCGGGGTGACAGCAAAATGTAGCCCTCTAGCTAGTACTGTTTTCAGATTGTCTACAGGAAGCCCACTCACACCTGGCCCTCAAGAGAAACGGATACTCTGACCGTACCATCCGCCAAGCTGTTTCTCCCTCCATACAGAAACAACCACTTGATTCTCCGGTCAAAACCATCACACTACCATATATAGCAGGCGTTACTAAAAAGATCTCCAAAATTCTAAACAAACACAAGATCCTGGTCCGGTTCAATACAGTACACAAAATCCGTGACCTGATCCCATCCGTGAAGGATGTCGTTCCTGACTTACAGTACCCCTGGGTTTACAAATTGAGCTGCACTTGTAGTGATTGCTATATCGGGGAGACGATGCGACATGTCTCTGACCGAATTCGCGAGCACAAATCAGATTTGAAACACAGCAGAACGAATTCTTCTGCTGTAGCTGACCACTGTTACAACGCTGTGGGTAATCATGATATAGTTTTCTCCGATACCAAAGTTCTCTGCAAACCCACGGGTTTTTATCAGAGATTTGTCCACGAGGCAATTCAGATTTACAAACACAGACACAATTTCAACCGAGAGGATGGTTTCAAATTAAGCAATCATTGGAAAGATGTTCTAAATCAAACCAAACATTGAACAAATTTTCCATGGTACAGTAAAAAAATGTTCAAGTAGTGGTATTCCAAACTTTCACAGATGCTTATTTCTCTCCACTCACTCACTCCACTCACTCCACTCACTCACTCCACTCACTCACTCCACTCACTCCACTCACTCACTCCACTCACTCACTCCACTCACTCACTCCACTCACTCACTCCACTCACTCACTCTACTCCCCCCCCCCCCCCCCCCCCCCCCCCCCCCCCCCCCCCCCCCCCCCCCCCGCTGCTGGTCCGTCATGGTCCCGACCCGCTCCTGGTCCATCATGGCCCATGCACCTCCTACGTACATCATGCTCATTTTTATGCTAATTCCTTTGTCAAGCGTTTTGCTTCCTCCCACATAGCTTAAAGGACGAGACCTGGGCTTGTCTGTTTTCACTGCAACGCTATCCTCATGACAGCACTGTCCGTTCACCTGATGAAGGCCACTTGTGTTGTGGCCGAAACGTCGTGATTTTTGTGATTTTATTTTTTACCGACGTGACTTTACCGAAAAGAACCAAAGAGTATGAAGTTGTTATTTTTTCATTAAGTAATTATGATTTTGTGCCATACTTTGAATTTGCATAGTAGATAAATTCGCTTTGGGAGTGATATTTAAGTTGATCTGTGCCATGAGAACTAGCATTTTAAAAATCCGAGTCACGGCACCGTGTCGTCGGTCCGCCCTGTCCCTCTCCTCCTGTGGATCCTAACGAGGCTAAATATACAATAAAAATAACCAAGTTCAGAAACGATGAGCAGATACTCCGGGGTGTGCTCTGTCCTCTGGATAAGTGGGCGACTCCACAAAAGCTGAGCACCAGAGGTTTGTGAAACGGCAGAACTTTATTTCAAGTGTTCTGTGGTGCCACATAGCAACTCCGAAAGTGCCATAACTCCCCCCTAGCCCCCAAACTAATCACACACACGCAGCGCACAAACGTGGTGTCCTGGCGGGGGATTGCCTGGAACAACGGGTTTTAATCTGAGGGGTCCCTAGGAGGAAAGTCCCACAGTTTCCCGGTGCAAGGTGATTGACCGACCCTCGCAGGACAGGTCACATTGCGGTGCCCCTGAGTTGGGCACAAAACAAGGTTCACCGGGCCAGCCGCAATGAGTCATGCACGACATGAGGTCAGGGGATCGCAGCGCCACGACCTCCCCCGGCCCCAGACCAAATACACACAAGCTGGGTGTGTATTCGCCAACCGTACATCCGTCCAGATTAGCCATGATGAGTCAGAAATTAATGTGTACGGATGGATAGACAATAGGTCGCAGAAGTAACCGTCGCAGCGTATCAACGCATGAGAACCACCAGCTTTGTCCATGAAGCCATCCAGATATATAAACACAGCCACAATTTCAACCGAGAAGATGGTTACAAACTGAGCAATCATTGGAAGGATCAGTTCAACACGTAGGCTGTCGCGACAAATATTATTCATAATAAACGTTTTTGGGTTAGATCGTGTTATTGATAAATGTGCCATAACCCTCCACCACCCGACACGGCCAATCAGTAAAAAAAGTGTCACGTTGACAAAGGACAAATAGTTCACTACTTTAGCCCACCGGTGTGTTGAAGAGTGAATCCACAACATTTTAAAAAAAATTGTACGACGTTTCCCTTGTAATTACATCCAGCATCATCGGGCAATTTGCCAGAACGATGAAGCCCTCACTTGCTCCCGGTCTTAAATAGAGCAGCAGGGTGACGTCATAATTTAACTCATTCAAGTGCAGTGATTTGAGGCGGGGGGGGGTATTGTAATTATATAATAGATTAGTAATCAGTTAATTATTATAAATAGTAATAAGTTATAGATTTGTAATTAGTTGTAATGTGTGTTATTGTAATTACATGCTACGTTAGTAATCCGTTAATTATTATGTGTTTCCCCTTATACGCAAATGTAATATGTATTATTTAATAACACGCTTCCAGGCTGCACTAAGCCTGTAACTGTTAGAGCGATTAAAGTTATTTCTATTTCTCTCAATTTCAATGGATTCTCTAATTAGTCTTTGCCAGTAATAATAAGTGTCCTTGTTGGCAAGCATGTTCTACCACTGCCGACAGTTGTATTTGAGATAATTTAATATTTATTTGGTGTTCTTTAAGTCTAACGCTGATGTTACGTCCCGTCTGTCCAATATAGCATCTGCCACATAAACAATTAATCCGATATACACCTTCTCTTGATAATTTAGGCAATTCGTCTTTAGTGCCAGATACTAGTTTTTTCAATTTTGTGTACTGTACCAAATCTTTCTTTGATGTTTTTATTTTGCAAAACATGGGCTAATTTGTCAGTTACTCCTGAGATATATGGTATTTTAATTGTGTTAACAATCTGATTGCTTTCAGCAGTGTTGCTTTGCGATCGTGATTTGGCATTCAGTGCTCTGTTAATTTGAGCATTATTGTAGCCATTCTGTCGTAGTGCTTCTTTAACATGTTTCATCTCTCTCACTAGACTTTCACCATCTGACACTGTTTTAGCCCGATGTATGAGCGTCTTGATAAGAGAGGATTTCTGAGCTGGAGTGTTATTTACCTCCATTTCCATGGAGGACTGGATGGCCAGGTTTTGTGCATTGAGATGATTTAGAAAATCATTAAATGTATCTTTACCATGTGGCCATACAACCAAAGTGTCATCCACATATCTAAACAAAAATAATGGGTTTAATGTACTCGAGGCAAGTGCTCTTCGTTCAAAGTTTTCTATGTACAGATTTGCTATAGCAGGAGATAAAGGAGAGCCCATTGCTGCTCCTTCCTTTTGTTTAAAGAAATCACCTCTCCATAAGAAGTAGGTCTTATTTAAACAATGGCCAGCGAGTTTCGGAATATCTTTTGGTAAACCTGTATTCTTTACTAGTGTATCAAGTAATTTAAGCGACTCGTTCACTGGAACCTTAGTAAATAGAGAAATCACGTTAAAACTCACCAGAATATCATTAGGGTTAAGTTTAATATCTTTAATCACATTCACAAGATGTTCTGAATTTATTATGAATTAAGATGTCCTGCCGATGTAGAGCTGTATTTGTTTAGTTATATATTTTGCTCATTTATATGTGGCAGAGACAATTGTACTGACTATGGATCGTAATGGGATTCCAATTTTATGAATCTTTGATAGCCCATATAGTCTAGGTGGTTTTGAGGCCCTTAACTTAGTTTGGTATTGCTCATTCTTAGGGATTCATTATTTTTCAATGATTGCAATAGTCTTACGTTCTAAAGTATGAGTTGGATCTCGTTTAATTTTAATGTAGGTACTTTGCCTCTAGAAAATCTTTAATTGTATTATCACAAACAGCTCGTGACATCACCACAGTAGTGTGGCCTTTATCAGCTGCCAGGATTTGAATAGCTTAATTAAATTAGAGCTCTCTTAAGGTGTTTGCTGCTCTATTTAAGACGGGGAGCAAGTGAGGGCTTCTCCATTCTGGCAAATTGCCCGATGATGCTGTATGTAATTACCAGCGAAACGTTGTACTAAAAAAAATGTAAATGTTGTGGATTCACTCTTCAACACAACGGTGAGCTAAAGTAGTGAACTATTTGTATTTTGTCAACGTGACACTTTTTTACTGATTGGCCTTGTCGGGTGGTGGAGGGTTATGGCACATTTATAAATAACGCGATCTAACCTTAAAACTTTACATTGGAAGGATGTTGTTAACCAGGTAAACTCATAACTTGCTGTGATGTTTCAATCCTTCATGCCGTTTAGCAGTTATTTCCGATTATCTGAATTACATTACCTTTTTAAATGTCTTTACAGTAACAGACTAAGGTCTCACTAACATAACCACCAGGATGTAACGGTAGCTCTCGCTGTTTAATAGGCTGTATGTCTCACTGGCACGGCCGCCGTTACGGTGGTTCTCTTGCGTTGATGCGCTGGCCTCTCACTGTGCAGCAGCCAATGCCGCAGCTTGTGTTGCCCATGAGGTGGCGCTATGCCCGGTCCTCTGACACAGACATGCTATCTCCCATTAAAATATTTACATTGACATGCCAAACTCCCTCATTAACACAGCTGCTGTGTGTGAGTGCGGCGACGGTGCTCGTGTGCGATGACGGGGCTCATTTCCCATTATACTCGTTTACATTGGCATGCCAAACTCTCCCTTTAATGCAGCTGTTGTGCGTGCATGCGGCGACGGGACTCCTTTCTATCTCTGACCCCGCCTACTTACCCTTGAGTGACACCCTCCTCAAACCTATATATAACCTATTGTTGCAGAAGCCCTTTCCTGTTCAACAGTTCTACTGCTATAACTTTCCACCTGATGACGATTGCTTGTGTTGCAAACAAAACGTCGTGATTCATTTTTCTACCTACCTGACTTTACCAAAAGAACCAAAGATTATGGAGAAAAATCATTGGTCAGCAACTTTATTATTAACGATACAACATATCATCAACACAAGCAATTGAATCATATATAATCCAAGGTGTTCACAATCACGAATCCAATGCGACCAATTGAAAGCAATTACTGAATCGTTGCCCATCAGTGTGTCTAGTTGGCAGCCATGGTCTGGTCAATCCAGCTGCGCAGGGCGGTGACGCGCGCGTACACGGCCGGCATGCTGGTGGAGCACGAGCTGCTGCCCCACGACACGATCCCCACGAGGTTCCACACGCCGTTCTTCTCGCACACCAGGGGGCCGCCGGAGTCACCCTATGGAGAAGACACGCAAGGTGCATAGCGACAAGAGTATGAAAACGACCTTCGATGTCGAGACAGAATAAACTAAAATCTGCCTACCCATCTTTGATGACAACTGAGTTGTGTTGAGATACACTTCACGTAGATGGTGGTGAAGGTCTGCAATCATTCCACAATTTTTAAAGTATTGTATGTGCATTGTGCATGGTAATAATGAGCTGCCACTAATTTATATTTGTTGATTTTAAAAAAATGATAGTCCCACTTAAAATTAAGCATGTCAACCCTATTATCGTGGCAAATACTTTCATCGAGGGTTTATTTTCAAATACGTTACATTTTACAAGATAGGCCCATAAACCCCACCATCCTTAAACCTTCAGATGTAGATATGAAACACTTACTTCAGATATAACAACTTTAGCTACATAATCTTAGCTCTTTCGGTAAAGTCACATTGAAGGGAAACAATAAAATAATAAAATATACCGAAAGAGCTAAGAATATGAATTACTGTAGTCACGAAAGCTTTAAATCAAAATGTAACTTTAGCTACGTAAAGAAATACCGTTAACGTTTACCATGCAGGAGCTAGCTCCAGCACCACCAGCGCAGATCATGACGCTGGTGATGACGTTCACGGTGCCCCACTTCTGCTGGCAGGTGGCGGTAGGCACAATGGGCAGAGCGGTCTGCTGCAGGATGGGAGGCGTGTTGAAGGCTGTGAACGCACACATAGAAGAATGCCAAATAACATAGAATAATGGTTAGATCATCTCTTTTGAGGTAACAGATTATATAGTTGATCATGTTTATTAATAACTCTATTTGGCACGAATTAATCTCAAAGTTTTCAAGTCCATCTAGCTTTAGGAAGTCCACGTGAATACCATGCACAAAGTAAATTGTGTTAATTATTGGTCATCGATGCTCACCGGAAGAGCGGACCTTGCCCCAGCCGGAGGTGACACACATCATGTTATCAGCAAAGACATCCGAGGCGGCAGGCAGGCAGACGGGAGAGACACGGTCCACGATCTGAGCGGGCTGAGCCAGCTTCAGCAACATGATGTCGTTGTTGATGTTGTAGGAGTCCCACTGCTGGTGAGTGATGGCCTGTGTGTGCAAACAGAACGAGATGTTAGAATACCTTAAACGAACTACGTTTGTTTAATTCAGGGTACTTGATCAATACACTTGGTCTCTATATTCTTGGTTCTTTCGGTAAAGTCACGTAGAAGAGAAATAATAAAATATTAAAAATATTAACAAAATTGCTTTATAAAACCGAAAGAACCAAGAATATGAATCCCTACAGTCACGAAAGCTTTGAATCAAAAACACTTGGTCTCTGTTGAACTTCATCCATTTCAATGTCTAACAAGTTGAGGGGAATGTTCATGAGGTAATTTTATAGCTCGCAAGTTTACCTTAGAGACGACAAGAGACTGGATGTTCTCGGCGTTGGAGTTCCTGTCGTGCTCGCCCAGGACGACGCGGTCAATGGACGGGCTGCGAACGCATTTAAGAAAACCGAACATTTACTGATTGAGAAAGATATTCTGCCTCGTTTTAAATCGTTAACATTGAGCGGTGCTACGCTGGCGCAGTGACTCCTGCATTCGCTTACTTGAACTCGCAGTGGGCAGCGGTCACCACCCATGAGGGGTCGATGAGGGAGCCACCGCAATAGTGCCACGTGGTGGAATCCTGTAGTGGCAAGACGCGACAGAATTGGTGTTGTGTCGCACTCTGTGACACGCGTAGCACACCTCACATACCAAATAGCACTTCGTATGGGCTGACTGTCATGTCTGTTGGGAACACCGCGATACGGTTCATGTTAATGTGGACTCATGATACGCTAACATTGAGGACTCACCTGCAGGGACACTTGCCAGGGCCAGGAGCCCGACACTGCATCCTCGCCATTGACGATACGGGAGTAGCCGGTGATGACCGGCTTGATAGCCGGGACACCGCACCCTATAATACATCAAACACCAGGTTAAAGCATCTCCGTTCTCAATGAATTGTGGACCTTGCTTATCATTGCAAGTGGTCATGAGCCATTGTTGAAAATTCTCCATAAGGCAACTCTTGACTTCCCACAAAGTGGCTTCCTCATTGAAGTGACCTGGGAGAAATAGGTCACTGAAAACTTCCATAAAAAATCTCACATTTATATCAACTTAAATAGATGCACGGCTGAAGGGGCTAATACATTTTGGCCAATAACCGAGTGAATGTCTTTTTAAAAAACTAAAATGCTGCATCTGAAATACCAATGACTATCATAGACACTCACCGAAGGTGGCGCCGATGAAGGCGAAGCAGGAGACGAGCCAGAAGAGAGACATTGCGACAGTGGTAGACGGTGCTGGCCTCCTGCCGTTGGGAAGCCCCTTTTATACAGAAAATCTGCCGCGTGGCAGTGAGTTTCAACTATAAAATCGATTGCAGCCTTTGCCCTTAGATGGCTGGTACATGTCTTGTGCCATATGAGGTGAGTCGATACGTTCTCATGCAGAGAGGTGACGTAAGCTCAAGTTTTAACATTTTAAGTTTTGAGTAATATATTGAGGTGACGTTGACTATAACGTTTGAAATGCAAAGCTATCGCCATTTTTGTGAATTAATATTCTATGATTATCGAACAAAAGTATTAGTTTCATTGCAATGAAATTAAGTGCAAATGTCACGAAAGTATTATATTGACGGCCCTGAAAACAAACATATTAAGATCTAACAAACTGAAGTTATTATTTTTCATTAAGTAATTATGATTTTGTGCCATACTTTGAATTTGCATCGTAGACAAATTGGCTTTTGGAGTGATATTTGAAGTTGATCTGTGCCATGAGAACTAGCATTTTAAAAAATGGTTATTTAAATGAATGTGCAATCAATACCATACTACCCATATTTTCTCACGAGTGTATTTTCGTGGATAACTGATAAATTGGGGTCAGGTGACAAAAAGCGTTGAGAAAAAACTCAAAGTGTGCACGACATGGTTGAACATTTTTGGTATCATATTCTTGGTTCATATTCTTGGTTCTTTCGGTAAAGTCACGTTGAAGGGAAACAATAAAATAATAAAATATATATAGCAACATAGATATTTTATTATGTTCTTGTTTCCCTTCAACGTGACTTTACCGAATGAACCAAGAATTTGAATCACTGCCGTCACGAAAGCTTTGAATCAAAATTTAACTGATAATTCGTGCATTTGCAAGCAAACAACATGTTTAAAACAGTCCCTCTATGTAAAAAAATATTTTATTCTGGTGACAACATATGACAATCGAGTAAAATCACGTTTTGATAAAACATGCCTGTTTTGATAAACGTGTCTATTGAGAGACGTTTCTTAACGAAATCTAAAAATTAATAGTACAAAAGTACATGCATTTTATTTATCAGGTAAAACACACTGAGCTGTTAGCGATTTTTCATAGATGACCTGGCCACACATGAGAGCTCATCAAAGTTACTTTTCATGTGGGAACTTGTAGTAGCCAACGCATATTTCTAAACGTGGAGTTGAAAAATCCACACGACCACGGGAAGAACATGCACATTCATTGCCCTGTAACTCCTGGGAATCATTGCACATTGCCCTTGTATTATTCTTTGAAACGCGAGTAACTTGTTTTCTCTCTGCCTTGACCCTTGCCCAGAAATATGGGCATTTGATAGGCCGGTGGTTTGAGAAAAAGCAACTGTAGTGGAGTTTATTTTTTTAAGTTTTGACCGGACTCCGCCTCATGTTCCGAGCTGGTTGTTTGGGTTCTCTGCACTGGAGAATATGTGAAGGCTTTTTGGATTTCATTTGTAGACTTTAACCAGGCCAACGACTCTGGAACGAGGATCTGTGGGAACACCTAGGTTGTTATGGCATCCCGGGGAAGAAAGGTTGCTTCCTTTAACACTTGAATAAAGGGAATCAGGCTTGTTTACATGTATAAGGTTACACATCAGAATGGTTTGATATTCGGACAGGTGTTCAAGGTTGCATTTTGTCAATCGCTCTTTAATATTGTGCTTGACTATTAATCAAATTACAATTACAACATGATCCATAATAGAGGTGTTTGGGTTAGATCGCGTAAATATATATATTTTTTACAACATGAGTCAGCTTCTTTGGTTATTTCGGTAAAGTCACGTAGAATGAGAATAAAATAATAAAATAATAAAATAACACGATAAATTTCTCACGACGTTTCGGCCACAACACAAGTGACCTTCTGCAGGTGACAGGCAGTCTCCAGCATCTCACCAGAATATGTTGGTCGAATGTGCCTCCATTACACTGGCTGCTGAAGCTACACTAGGCCTCTGAAAGCCTGATTCCACGTTCCAGGTTTTGGAACAGAAGGCAGCTGCACGGCAGACTGATAACATTAAGGAACATCGCAGGCGTCAGAGAATGTTCAGAGCTTGAGCAAAAGCTGACCAAGAGAAGTATCTGACCTCGCTGACTGATGAAGTTGAGTTAGGACTGTCTCAGAGGAGGTGGTGGACATACTGTCATGGCTACGATCACCAAATCAGACGGCTCTCCTTGCTCATCGGTGGAAGATGTCCTGAGCATTATGCAGCAGTGCTGAACCACCCACCAACAGATGCTTGTCCCAATTTGGCAGATAATGCAGCTGACTTTGACTGCCAAACTAACACAGACCCTCCTACATCAAAGGAGTTTGGCATGTCATCATTAAGCTTAAAAATGGCAAAGCAGCAGGGTTAGATGATATTTCTCCAGAACCGTTGTCAATTAGCATGTTGATTCACTATTTAGGCATCCGTTTGACTGACATCTTCAATGAGTGGAGAGCTAGATCCATGTGGCAATGTGTGAACATTTGCGTTGTGTTAATGTGCATATTTCTAAATAAATTGTTCTCACAGTCGATTCATTCACACCTTCCAATGGATGAAGCACTCTCAGGGCACAAGATTCTTCTCCTCACCCACAAGGCTCTCAATGATGCTGTTCCCTCACATATACATCGCCTATATGTCCAACAAGAGTGCTTCGGTCATCCGATTCTGGTCTGTTGTGTGTGCCGAGGTGACGTCTCTTCAACGATGATGGGTGACCAGGCCTTGTCTCATGTGGCCCCCAGGCCATGAAATATACGTTCATAGGATGGTCGATCCACTGACTCCCCACCATCCCCTCGTTTTATTCAAATTGAACCTTAAGACGCAGCTTATTTATGAGAACTTGTGATATTTCTTGAATCCTTTGTTTTGGGGTTGGTCTTTATTGGTGTGAGCCTGCCTGCATGTGCGTGTGTTTTGTGACAATCTGGACACAGTCCCATTGGTGAGCTCCTCTGGCAGGTAAGGCTGCGTTGGCTGGGGCATGTATCCGACATGTCCAGCCACTACATGCCCGGTTAGAGGGAGCTAAATGGGCTCGGCACGGGCTAAAGAAGAGATGGAGTGATGTGATACAAGAGGATATAGAGCTGAGGGGACTTACCGATGACGAGTACCAGCAGTGTCAAGATTGGAGGCTTATGAAGGACGCTACTGGGCAGTTGGAGGCAGTCGCCCTCCAGCAACAATGAAGAGCGGAGGAGCGACGCTCACAACGAGTTGGGGGCTTGCGGCTAAAAACAGCAAGTTGGCCCAGTAGGGGGCACAGGTGGTGCATCTCCCAAGCAGGTCTGTCCTGTGATCTCCTGCCAGCGAGTCTTTGACACCTCAAGTGGCTTCAAAGTCCATCTAGTTTGACGATTGGCGGTTGTTGTTGTGTCTTGTGATCTCCGGGTGAGAGACTCTTTAGAACTGTAAATTAGTATAAAAATGACATCACAGTTTAATTACGTAGCACAGCGCCAAATGACACAATTGTCCATTTGTTGTGGCTATCGAACTTGCATCCTGTGGGTGTTTAAGGAGACGACCTTGTGTCCTACCCTCTTATTAACTTCAAATTACAGTGGGCGGGGGGAGGGAGGAGGTCGATATTCTTGCAAGACAAATAATGGAATTAAAGGGATGATGCATGAGAAAAGATCACGTGCATAAATTCACATTCAGGAACTTATCGCATGACTTTGATGAAAAATATATTTAATTGTGTATAACACCTAATCTGAATATTTTCCACATCAAGTTGGGATAATTAAGCTTACTACGTTTTTTGTAACAATCAGTATAGTTACACCTGAAACTAAATACATAATATTTAGTTGGTTCTTTTGGTAAAGTCACGTAGAATGGAAACAATTAAATAATAAAAATATAAAACAATAACATTCTCACGACGTTTCGACTGCAACACAAGCAATCATCGTTAGGTGTAAAAACCACGGCAAGAAAATTTGAAAAAAGTGGCGGGTTTTTTTAACGTTAGCACCACGGAGAGCGATTTGGCAGTTATTCAGATGGACGAGTCCATCTATGTTCGGAAAAGAGGAGGGGGGAGACGAAAATAATGGATGCGGTCTGAAAGCCACCGTAAGCGTGAACAATCAATTAAGACCCGAAATGGTTTATCAAATCCTTCCAATGATTCCTAAGCCAGAATCCATCTTCTCAGTTGAAATTGTCCCTTCTACGTGACTTTACCGAAAGAACCAAGAATATTAATCCCTGCAGTCACGAAAGCTTTAAATACAAATTTTAATACATAATACTTTTAAAATATATATTTTAATCCTTCACAATTTGCCACGTTTGCAAGTCTGCAAAATTCCAGTAATGACACTGCTACATTAACCTACATGTTAAGCTATATTTGCATTTAATGCTTACTTTTAAGTAGTCTAATCTTACAACGTATAAATAACTTTTTTTACGGATAAAATGTATTTTTGAAATAAACAATTCGACCAATAAAATATATACCCACAGGTATGGGAAAATCCTGAGTGAGACCAAGAGACTACATGGTCAATGACTCTAAATATTTAATTTCTACTTTTTCAAAATCTAATTTAATTTGTATAAATGTTTAAATATAATTATATCTGATGTCTCTTCAAGCTACTTTTCACTAAGGGGTGCACTATCTCGCAGGGTCTTCGACTTTGTCATCTTTGTCAGATTGCAGTATAACTTATATGGTTTTATATTCCGAGAGCTGATTTTATTATTACAATTATTGTTGACCGAGTTGAATTCATCAAATCACTACACTTTGATAACTCGGTTTAGTTTCATCTGGCTGGAAAATACATTTTAACCCATGCAATATATCAGAGACATGACCTCCAGAATGAGCGTTTAAAATAAAGAAACAAGGTTTCAGAAACTTGATTTTTGTTCAACAAAAAAGTCAAAAGTGTCTCCATGCTTAAACGAGTAGTGGGGAGATATCATCTGAGTTGACGGACCTGAGCTAGTAGTTAGAGGTTCTACGCTTACGTTGCATGTGCCAGTGACTGCACACAATGTTACACTTATTTGATCAATTCCGGACGGATGATATGCAGATTCCACTTTTTAACTGCTCCCCACACCCTCTTAGCCACAGCGCCAAATGACTGGCCACAAGTTTTAATCAGTTTTAAATCCAGTGAAGTGTACACGCTCACCAAAGGTAGCGCCCAAGAAATCGAAACAGGAAAGAGCCAGACTAGAGCCATTTGTGCTGTGGTAGATGTACCTGAAGTTCCTTAAGCTAAATACGGCATTTTTTTACATCGGAAAGACGTTTGGTTTGGCAACCTCTTTCCACGATAAATATGCAAAGATAAGCTTGTTTTATCATTGAAGGTCAGAACACGACAGTCATCTGGTGAGCTTTAGTAAATTCCCACGCATATTGCAAGAAGGGATGATAGCTACTGTAAATGGTTGCAGAATCATGGCGTGGTTACTAAGAGATGGAACCTGTCCTGAAAAAATGTCCATCAGGAAGATGGAGCAATGAAATCGGCTCGTGTGTATCAATCAATAAATATTAATTTTCTGTGCCAATATCGCCCTCAGTGAAGTAGGCATCAGTGCACATTACAACAGAACGGGACCGGTACAGCGGCATAGAGCAATCGGTGGATTTTGTACATCGCAGGATCGTAAGATATATGATATAGCTTGGGGAGGATTTTATCCAACAGATTACTCATCATGGCTGCTGTTGATGAGAAGATGAAGTCAGGCTTTTCCCATGTTACATATCATTTCACTTTTCATGTTCTCAATCTTTATAAAATAAACATGTGCTTCGTAGTGTAATGCAAATTAAACTTCACTTTGCCCACAAAATATGAATACGTTGGTTCGCTACAGATACAAAAAAAATAGGTGGTTTAATAATTATGGGAATATGTGTTGGATATAGTGCAGTGTGTACAGAAAATGATGTATATGCATTTTCACCCATTCTCATTACTTGTAAACCTCTGAGGTAATATTTCTATTGGTAAAAATAACCCTTGTGAGGCCTATTTTAGGCGAAAACAGCAACGTTTTTCCTCATATCGGTGGCTTTAGTGCAAGTTTTTCTTCTTGCCTGACTCCTGCCGCTGATGTGAGCAATGTGCTCTCTTTATACATTGTCATTTTCAGCTGTTCCTTTCTGGTACATGGCGTTTAAAATTACGTTTCTGTTTGAATACAGACATTAAATATCTCATCGTTATTTTACTTTAAGACAAAGCTGACTTACATAGACTAATTGGCATCCTATCACAGTTCGTGTATCCATTGTTCACCGAGATAAAAGGAACCCAGATAATGGACGTTTTAGAGGCCAACCGAACCAAACGAATAACCTGGATTAAAAAAACGGGTTTCTTCCTTTGACCACATAACCTACACACGGTACTGAATGAATCTCAGCATTAAAAAGAGATTACTATCAACCGCCATTATGCCTGACTTTATTATAAACAATGAAAATACATTTCACTCCGTTACCCAAGATGTCAGAAACCGACATCTTCCTGTGGATGATCAAACTCGTTTACGCATAACACGTGGAGATTCTATTATCAAACTCGCTTATGGGAAGTATAAACGGCGAGGTTTTTGCAGTGTAAATACCATATAACTGGAATTACACTACTCATGTTTACATGCCAAACACAGATCAAACTTCTGCACATGATAATTTTCGTAAAACAATGGATTAGTTAAGACAAGAAGAAGCCTGTACTTCCCTAACTATATTTCACAAACGATACCTATTAACTGTTAACTACAAGAACAATTCTACTATGCATTGTGTTCTATCCTAAACTCTCGAGCTGTAAGTTGCAGTTCAAGCCCCCTTGGTTCGTGACTGAAGGACACGTCGCGGCCCGTCTAATTGTGACTCTAAACTCTATTTTGGTAATAATGTACCCGAAGTTCATGAGAACCTATTGGATTTCTCCACTCGTATACAGGGCCGGTGTTATCAGATTGGGATATGATAAACTCGCTGCCCAACGGCATATTTTTGGTATAAAAGGGGCCGGTTAGAGAGACAGGGTCCAGCACCGACCACCACAGTAACAATGTCTCTCTTCTGGCTCGTCTCCTGCTTCGCCTTCATCGGCGCCGCCTTCGGTGAGCAATGTCCGCTGGAACGTGAAAGCAGCCGTATCTATGTGAATGATCCATATTTACACAGGCAGGTACTATTGGTCTCTAAGTAGTAAATGTGTCTGGAACGTGTAGAGCTCAAGGTGATAGTCACATCAAACAGGTTGTTTTTAGATGTCTACAGAATTCCCGTCGTTTTCCCTCCTGATGCCTCGAGTTTCAGAGACCTATTCTGTTTGCCACCCGCATGCAAAATTTATCATTTACGGATCATCTTAGAGCAGCAACATTGCTTTAGACTCATTGAGGCTATCTTAGATATATGGTGATGTAATTCCAATTAATAACTCTATTTTAAAACCCTTCATAACTCGAATGTTGCCGTGTCGGTTTCACCATATTTCACCAAGCTTGTCACTGCGGGTTTATGAAGGCGGGTGGTGGGGGGGAGGGACAGATATCACTCATCAATGATGTTAGCCATGGCCAGGAATCCAACTGAAGTGACCGGAGTGCACAGCAGCAGTGCGCTAACCACTAGGCCACTACTCCACTCCCAGTTAATGATGATGAAAAATTAGAGTCACTCAGCTAAATTTACATGAATTACGAATTATAAAATGTTATGTGAAAAAAAATAATATATATTTGTAATGAGTTTCAGAAGACTATGTGTGCCGGTTTTGTTTATTCACCTGAAGCGACACCCCCAGTACATACGTGTCAAGACGGCCAAGGGTCGTGAATGAAGAGTCCCCTGTGTGGGCTTCAGTGGGGCTGTCTGATCAGGCAGCAGAGGCCAAGAAACGACATTCCAGTCGTGAGTTGAGCTCAAGGAGGGCTAGCTCGAGCACCATCCTGCGGCGGGGAAAGGAGGTGGTGCAAGCGGTTCAGCCGAGCCCACAACAGCCAAAAATCTGCTGTCCCTGTCTGGGGGGGGGCGCTGTTCAACCCTAGCACATGGGCGAGAAGCCGTGCATGTGTGACAAGTGCGGCAATACGTTTTCTCGCGCTCGGCCTACAAGTATATATATTTTCTTTTCCGCTTGTGTGTTAATCTGTGTTTACCCCGGATATTTTAGAGATGGCAATTCTCCTGCTGTGTATCCTACTGCTGTCCCTCCCGGCCATATCTAGTGCCACACTTAACTCTACAAACTGCTACCCTCGTTACTTTGCGTCCATACTTGTTGCTCCATTTGCCACTACACCTGCTAATGAAACAGCTCATAGACACTTCTACACTCCATCATTGTATCCTTTTAAACCATATCTTTGTCCCATTACTTCACCAGCACTCCTTCCAAACTTCATTCTGCTCTTAAAAATAACACCATCTGCGAGCAACTGCTATTCATCCAAGGTTCACCGCTCTTCATCCTTTCAGATAAAATACTTGTGCAAACTATTAATTCTACTTTTCTTATTTCTGGGTGGTATTGAGCTTCATCCTAGCCCAAATTAAAAGAACTCGTATAATTCTGTAGATTTTTTTCTGGCAGGAAAGGTGTTGGTGTTCTACATGTCAAAATCAGAGGGCTTGTGATTAAATTAAGTCAACTAAAACTAGAAGTGGCAAATCTTTACCCAGACATTTTTTGCTTAACAGAAACATTTCTCACTCCTGCCGTCAATGACTTACAGATTGCGATTGACAACTACAACCTTTTTCGGCTTAACCGATGATCTAAAGAAGGTGGAATTGCCATCTATGTTCGTAATACCATTGCATGTTCACTAGCTCACTCCTTTTGATTTAAAGCTTTCGTGACTGCAGGGATTCATATTCTTGGTTCTTTCGGGAAAGTCACGTAGAAGGGAAACAATAAAATGATAAAAATATAAAGCAATAAAATTCTCACAACGTTTCGACTGCAACACAAGCAATCATCATCAGGTGTGAAAACCACAGCAAGGAAATTTGAATAAAGTGGCTTTTTTACGTTAGCACCGCGGAGAGTAATTTGGCAGTTATTCAGATGGACGAGTCCATCTATGATCGGAAAAGAGGAGGGGGGAGACAAAAATAATGGATGCGGTCTGAAAGCCACCGTAACCGTGAACAATCAATTAATACCAGAAATGGTCTATCAAATCCTTCAAATGATTGCTAAGCCAGAATCCATCTTCTTGGTTGAAATTGTCTATGTGTTTGTATATGTTGATAGCCTCATGGTAGCCAGATGGCTTGCAAAGAACCTCTGTCTTGGAGAAGTCAATCTCATGTGAGCCTACTGAATTATAACAGCGATCTGCCACGGCCGAGGTGTTGGTCCTACCGTGTTTTAGGCCTGCTTTGTGTTCACGAATGCGGTCCCAGACATGTCCTTTGGTTTCTCCAAAGTAACTACTACCACAGACGCAACTTAGTTTGTAGACGCCAGGGTACTGTATGTCCGGAATCACATCTTTTACAGACGGAACCAGATCACGGATTTTATGTAATGTGTTGAATCGGACCTGGATCTTGTGTTTATTCAAGATTTTGGAGATCTTTTTTGTGATCCCCGCAATGTAGGGTAAAGTGATGGTTTTGAAAGGCTCCTCAAGAGGGTCCTTCTTCATGGTTGGAGTCATAGCTTTGCGGATTGTGTAGTCGGAGTAACCATTAGCCTTAAGAGCTTGGTGTACGTGCTTGAGTTCACTGCTTATGTGTTCCTGGTCGGATATGCATTGGGCACTATGGTGCAGAGTCTTGATGAGGGAATTCTTCTGGAATGGATGGTGGTGGGAATCCGGTTTCAGGTAAGCATCCATATGGGTAGCTTTTCTGTAGACAGGGTGGCTCATTGAACCATCAGGTCTCTTTTTTATTAGGACATCCAAAAAGGTAGCTTGCCATCTTTTCGACTTCCATGGTAAATCTCATGGCTGGGTGTATGGAATTGATGTGGTCGAGGAATTGATCTAGAGCAGGCCGGCCATGTGGCCAGATGACAAAAGTGTCATCCACGTACCTCTTCCATAAGGTTGGGCGCAGAGTGGCAGTCTGGATGGCGTCAGTCTCAAATTTCTCCATGAAAATGTTGGCTACAACCGGAGATAGGGGGGAGCCCATTGGGGTGCCCTCAGTTAGTTTGTAGAAAGTTCCATTCCAAGTGAAGTATGTCTTGGTTAAGCAGTGTCTCACCAGGGGGGTACCTCAGTGTTTAGTCCTTGATGAACCAAGTCTTCAATGATTGCGATGGTGTCAGGTACAGGAACTTTGGTGAATAAGGAAACTACATCAAAACTGACAAGCAGGTCGTCTGGGGACAGGGAAATACCCGTGATTGTCGATACCAGTTGAGTAGAATTTTGTACTGCAGAGGTGGTTTTTCCAGTGAAAGGCCGCAGGATTTCAGACAGAAAACGAGCCGTAGATGGACTCGTCCATCTGAATAACTGCCAAATCGCTCTCCGTGGTGCTAACGCTAAAAACACCGCCACTTTTTTCAAATTTTCTTGCTGTGGTTTTCACACCTGATGATGATTGCTTGTGTTGCAGTCGGAACGTCGTGAGAATTTTATTTTATATTTTTCTTATTTTATTGTTTCCCTTCTACGTGACTTTACCGAAAGAACCAAGAATATAGCTCACTCCTGTACATTATGAGACCTCCTTTGGCAGTAGCATGATATAGTAATAGGTTTTTACCCTTTTATCTGGCACCAAAACTGACACCTTTATACAAGGGATCATGTTTGCAATAACCACAACACAAGCAGTCAAAATGCAAACAAAAAAAGACAACTCTGATAATGATATGCACTGTCCTTGAAATTGATTGGGCCACACCCGAGACGGCTTTTCCCAGAGCCCAGTCTCCATTGGTGTTGGACCAAAAGGCGTCATCTGGTCCAACTGGTCCAACACCAGTGGAGACTGGGCTCAATTTCAAGGACAGTGCATATCATTATCAGAGTTGTCTCTTTTTGTTTGCATTTTGACTGCTTGTGTTGTGGTTATTGCAAACATGATCCCTTGTATAAAGGTGTCAGTTTTGGTGCCAGATAAAAGGGTAAAAACCTATTACTAGCTCACTCCTTGTTTAAAAAATTTCGCTTTGAAGGTCTGGCTCTCAGAATAACTCTCCCAATAATCAACAAATACACTATTGGTAGTGTGCTGCTATCGACCGCCTAGTGGGAAGGATGTTGAAGCTACATCTGCATTGAGAGAGCTTTTTGGGGGCCTCCCTAAAGGTGAAATAGTTTTAGTGGGTGACCTGAATTGGAATTGGCTAAACCCGCTGCGCGTGGCCACAAATGTTGCAGATTAATTTAATCTGTTTCAATTAATAAATGTCCCCACAAGACCCAACCTAAAAAATCCGGGACAGTCATCTCTGCTTGACGTCCTATTGACAAATGCCCCTCACAATTTCACACTGAATGGTGTTCTGGGTAATAACCTTATTGATCACTCCTTCATTTTTCGGGTTAGATCATCAGCCAGACCCAAAGCCCCCCTAAATTGGTTGAGAAGCACTCTATGAGACACTTGAGCACTCAGGCATTTACTAATGATGTGCTTCACTCGGATATTGACAAGGTCTGTGATATCTCCAACCTGACTACGGCTTGGGAGACCTTCAGGTTACACATTTCTCCAAATTCTTAACAAACATACTCCGTTGGTTAGATTTAAAACTAAAGGCAACCGCCCACCATGGTTTGATCATTTGATTACAAGGCTCATGAAAACTAGGGACAAGGCTTGGGCATGTGCTCAGAAAAGTAATTTGGTCAATGACTGGCTAGAATACAGGATTTTAAGGAATAGATGCGTCAAAAAAATACGGCAGGCAAAAAAATGCCTACTTTTCCTCCATTCTCCTGGAATTACATGGAAATGCCAGGATTTTCTGGAAAAAAATCAAATGTATCGAGAAGGCATCCAAAACAGACAATCTGCCCGCTGAGCTTAACCGAAAAGGGGAATATTTTTCAGATCCCAAAAAAATAGTTGACAATTTTAACCTTCATTTTTCTGAAGCTGGTAATCTTTTTGATAATGTATTGGGAGTCATCCCTGCTTATGCAAATTCATACACCCCTGTCCAAACATTAAACGAATTTAGTTTCCAGCCAATCCATGAAAGTAATGTTCTTAAACAACTGTCCTACCTCAAAGGGTCCTCCTCTACCGGAGCAGATAGTATTCCCGTCTTTGCTCTACTAACTGTTGGTCACCTAATATACAAACCAATAGCCCATATTTTCAACCTGTCCATCAAAGAAGCATCAGTTCCTCTAGGATGGAAACATTCCTATGTCCGTCCACGTCACAATGGGAGCCCTAAAGATGATCCAAATAACTATCGACCTATCTCAATTTTGTCCCCGTTGATGAAAATTTTTGAAAAATTATTGACCTACCAAATTAGCAGTTTCCTGTCCACCAACAATCTACTACATCTAAACCAATTTGGCATCCGAAAAAAAATACAGAACCACATCTGCTGCATTAGACGCTCTGAATCACATTTACAGTAGCCTTGATAATAAACAGTACTGTGCCTGTCTTTTTCTAGACCTGTCGAAAGCTTTTGATACAGTAGACCACAACAACCTGCTTAGTAGACTAAGTTGCCTCGGTTTTTTCCGAAAACGCAGTAAAATGGTTACAAAATTACCTCTTTTCTCGCACCCAAACTGTATTCACAGATGGTTGGAGGTCAAACAGTGTTAAGATAACAAAAGGGATTCCACAGGGTTCCATCCTCGGCCCACTTTTGTTCTCTCTTTATGTCAATGTCTTGGGCACTGACCTGGATCATTCCAGGGTAAATCTTTTTGCAGATGACACGATACTGATTACTGCTGGCCGCTCTCCGGATGACGTGATTGCAAAGCTACAGGGTCCATACTCTTTGGTTCTATTCGGTTCGGTAAAGTCACGTAGGTAAAAAATAAAACAACAAAAATCAGCGCTGTCCTCTAGACAGTCTGGTCCCTTCACCTGATGAAGGCCACTTGTGTTGTGGCCGAAACGTCATGATTTTTGTTGTTTCATTTTTTACCTATGTGACTTTACCGAATAGAACCAAAGAGTATGGATCCTTGCAGTCACGAAAGCTTTAAATCATGAAGCTTCAGTGTGATTTCAACAAACTATAACATCAGCTAGTTGATCTTAAACTAGTCATGAATACCTCCAAAACCAAGGTGCTATGCTTCTCACCAGGACTAAAGCAGGAAGTTATTTTTCCCCAATTACATTCCTTAAATAATTATCAAATAGAGCAAGTCAAGATCTATAAGTATATTGGGGTCATCCTGGATTCAAAACTGAATTTTGAAGATCACATTGATTATATTGGTAAAAAGACAAAAATAAAAATTGGTTTTCTGTATCGACACAAGCACTGCTTCCCCCCAATGTTCCGTTTGGAATTGATAAAAGCTACCATACTGCCTCTACTTGGCTACTGTGACATCGTGTATAAATCAGCCCCAAGTACTGTACTGAAGAAGCTTGATTCCATCTATCACTCGGCCTTAAGATTTACATTGAACTGCCCATATAGGACTCACCACTGTGATCTCTACATTGGGTCAAACTTAACATATCTTAATGTTCGACGGCTTGTGCACCATATCTTATTTATTCACGATGTACTTACAAAAAAATCCGCAGATTAACTGCTGGATCTCCTCTCTGTTTCAAAGAACAAATTTGACCTAAGGTCTTCGCTCATTTACCAGCTTCACATTCCCTATTGCCGTACAAAACTGGAGGAAGGGCCTTTGCTATTCATGCCACCAGGATCTGGAATGATATTGCCAATAAACTGCAACTTGAATCGCTACCAATGAGTTCTTCTCTCAAAACTGCTCTAGAGGAGTTGTACACCCCTAGCTGCCACTGCTATTCATTGGCGTAAAATAAAATAAATGTTTCGCTCCGGATGACGCTGCAAAGTATTATCTGTATTTTCATTTAGCGTGCTGATCTTAAAGGTGCATTGAAAAATTTGATACTCCGACTAATGCTTCTGTTGTTGTGGAGTAACTCATGCAGCCAGCTATGGCTCTAGGGTTTGGTGTTACATGTTATTTATGTAGTTTATTATAAAAATTCGGTCACAGTCCCTATGATCACTGTTACGTTGCAATTATGGCTTTATTTTTTGGTGATTTCGAAAAGTTTTTTGGTTTGGACATGTTTGTTTTGTTGTAGTACGGAGTTAGACTGATGGCCTTAATCTAAGTTTTCTTGTGGTTGTTGTTGTTTGACTTGCATCCCACTGGGATTTTTTACACACAGCGTTGGTGTACGGTGCTTTTTTCAGGAATATTTTGCTGTTTTTTCATGGATTTTCTGTTTGCACAGTCACATAGTCACTTTAAGATGTTTTCTTGTTCATGTTTTTGTTTTTTGTTGTGGTTGAACCCGATTCAAGAGCCGAATGGCTCACAGGGCTATACCAAAATAAATAAACTGAAACTGAAACGTGTTAAATAACGTGAGAAGTGATCTCTGAATCCACCAAGCCAGTGTGTGCTCTCCGAGCTCGTCTTGTACCCACGTCACAGGGTGCGGTGTTCCGGCCATCAAGCTGGTCAACTCAAAAGATACCCAATTTAAAACTATCAAGTGTGCGCATCCACCTAGCTCAAACTGCTGTCTAATGATAAATCTTAATATTGTATTCATGTAATCGTTATGGGCCATGATTTATCCGCTGCTGGTCACCTTCTCTCGTGGTCTGACGGTGCAACAATATTTACAGAGCTCCTTCACACTCTGTTTATTACCTTAAATATATTAAGCGCTAACTTTGTAGGCAATTCATGCAAGGAGCCTTCTGTAAACTTAACGACCAATCACCGTGTTCTGTACACGTCACAGGGTGCGGTGTCCCGGCCATCAAGCCGGTCATCACCGGCTACTCCCGCATCGTCAACGGCGAGAATGCGGTGTCAGGCTCCTGGCCCTGGCAGGTGTCCCTGCAGGTACGAATGCCAATTTGCTTCCCCCTATAATCTACCTTGTAACTTCTAAAAAAATAAGATTACAGTAGTGTGTTATACATGCGCGTTACAACTCGGTTTATATTTACGGACAAGTATTTTCTTATCCCAATTCTATATGCAGAACGAAATTGCCTTATTTGATATGGTAATGTGGATGTCGTAAAATCAATCTCCCTGTATGGTCAAAAGATTAACAATACCCAACTGATTGTGAATAACCGAAGTTGATTAAACTACGTTTCTAATGTATACAAAGTGTAATATGACAATAGTGTCATATTTTATCCCAATAAAAACTCCTAGCTTGCAATTTTTATTTGTCATGGGACGAGGCCTCCTCCCATAGGCGTCTGAAGGCAAACAGTGGAGAGACCTCTTACCCAAACGGTAGACTTATTTTTCGATTTAAAGCTTTCGTGACTGCAATGATTCATCTTCTTTGGTTCTTTCGGTAAAGTCACGTAGAATGAGAATAAAATAATAAATTGATAAAATAAAATAACACAATAATATTCTCACGACGTTTCGGCCACAACACAAGCGGCCTTCATCAGGTGAAGGGAGCGAGACTGTCTGGTAGGACAGCGCTCCCTTCACCTGATGAAGGCCGCTTGTGTTGTGGCCGAAACGTCGTGAGAATATTATTGTGTTATTTTATTTTATCAATTTATTATTTTATTCTCATTCTACGTGACTTTACCGAAAGAACCAAAGAAGGTAGACTTATTGTTTGTATTGCTTTAATTGTAACATGCCCCTTTAAATCTGCTGGCCTCACAGGGTTCAGACCATCCACGAGAAATACTTTTTATAATCATACTAAACGAGCAAAAAGTTTTGCTCGCAGACTGTCTGAGTTGGGCCCCCCTTGATAACCACCATAAGACATGTTTTCAACAGTGTAAAAGAACGACAACTTATTCAAAACGCGGTTTAAATGTATTTTTTATGAAAATGCTAAACGATGTGATTAGGCAAGAGAAGACGCGAAATATAATAGTCTCGGTGCGACCGTGCGAGACATTAAATATTGGGGCCCCACCTGACCGTTTGCCGCACCCCCTGAGCTGATAATGTCGTCACTACCCACTCGGTGGTGAGTTTTCATCCCCTTTTATTTAGTTCATGTACACCACTTTCAAAGCAGCCCCTTGGATTCTGCCCTTTAAACCGCTACAGGATTCCACTAGCTGGCACTATTGCGGTGGCTCCCTCATCAGCTCCACCTGGGTGGTGACCGCTGCTCACTGCGAGTTCAAGTGAGTGCTCACTGAGACGCGATTGCGTATTGCAGCTCAATGGACTGTAAACAGCAAAACACGCACACGTGTGTGTGTAGATTATTCTGAGCAAGAAGCTCATGTAGGGGTCATGAACGTGTGCGCGTCCGCAGCCCGTCCCGTGACCGCGTCGTCCTGGGAGAGCACGACAGGAACTCCAACGTCGAGAACATCCAGTCTCTGTCCGTCTCTAAGGTAAACTTCTGTTCCTCATTCAGTTCACCCAGGCAAGAGCCTAATAAGGCATGATGGAAACTGTACACGATTATATTCACGTCGTTCAGATTGCCACGTCACATAACGGTATAGTGAGCATTTCAAATGCAGGCTGACAGCTCGCGATTGTCAATACCGGTAGCTCCGTTGCTTTATGGTTTTTCGCTGCGTTTGCACACACACAGGCCATCACTCACCAGCAGTGGGACTCCTACAACATCAACAACGACATCATGGTGCTGAAGCTGGCTCAGCCCGCTCAGATCGTGGACCGTGTCTCTCCCGTCTGCCTGCCTGCCTCCTCGGATGTCTTCCCTGATACCATGATGTGTGTCACCTCCGGCTGGGGCAAGGTTCGCTCTTCCGGTGAGCATCGATGCAGAACTCATGATGCCGAACACTGAGCGGAATTTTTGTATTGTATAAGCCACCCCATCCAACAATGTTATTTAAACAAAATCGTAGAAAATAGAAATCTAATCCACAGGGTCCAGCCCAAATTGATATGGATTTGTTTGTGTGTGCAATTTACAGCCTTCAACACGCCGCCCATCCTGCAGCAGACAGCTCTGCCCCTTGTGCCTCCCTCGATCTGCCAGCAGAAGTGGGGCTCTGCCAACACCATCACCAGTGTCATGGTCTGTGCTGGTGCTGCTGGTGCTTCGTCTTGCATGGTGAGTGTTCGTTTCGTTAGTATTGACGATCTTTACTTGGCGTAAAGTGTTATACACTGCACAAAAGCAGGCCTAATGCTCATAAAGGCATAGGCACCCTTAACTTGGCCCTAAAGTCGACATATTCCCGCCATTTGGTTTTGAGAGGCAAGATGGATTGAGGCAGCACAATGCCGTGGGACACGTGGTGTCGTCGTGGGCGATTTTGACATCATCATGTCCATCTCACAATTTATGATTTAGCTACAAATGTGCATGTGCATCCAAATATACTGTCCTCATTAACATGAGTTTACAACAGGCTCATCGAGAACTCCCAAACTGCCATAATGTCTCTTTTGTTTTATTTCAGTAAAAAATATAACTTGATCTATCTTAAGTTTAGTCTCATGGGCTTAGTCGGTAGGAAAATCTATCATTCACTCGGTGTGTTTGCCAACTGTGACTGCTACAGTGAGAGAAAAAAGTATTTGATCCCCTGCTGATTGTGTACGTTTGCCCACTGACAAAAAAATGATCAGTCTGTAATTTTAATTGTAAGTTTATTTGAACAGTGAGAGACAGAATAACAACAAAATCCAGAAAAACGCATGTCAAAAATGTTATAAATTGATTTGCATTTTAATGAGGGAAATAGGTATTTGACCTCCTCTCAGTCAGAAAGATTTCTGGCTCCCAGGTGTCTTTTATACAGGTAACGAGCTGAGATTAGGAGCACACTCTTAAAGGGAGTGCTCCTAATCTCAGCTTGTTACCTATATAAAAGACACCTACCCACAGAAGCAATCAATCAATCAGATTCCAAACTCTCCATCATGGACAGACCAAAGAGCTCTCCAAGGATGTCAGGGACAAAATTGTAGATCTACACAAGGCTGGAATGGGCTACAAGACCATTGCCAAGCAGCTTGGTGAGAAGGTGACGACAGTTGGTGCGATTATTCGCAAATGGAAGAAACACAAAAGAACTGTCAATCTCCCTCGGCCTGGGGCTCCATGCAAGATCTCACCTCGTGGAGTTGCAATGATCATGAGAACGGTGAGGAATCAGCCCATAGCTACACGGGAGGATCTTGTCAATGATCTCAAGGCAGCTGGAACCATAGTCACCAAGAAAACAATTGGTAACACACTACGCCGTGAAGGACTGAAATCTTGCAGCGCCCGCAAGGTCCGCCTGCTCAAGAAGGCACATATACATGACCGTCTGAAGTTTGCCAATGAACATCTGAATGATTCAGAGGACAACTGGGTGAAAGTGTTGTGGTCAGATGAAACCAAAATGGAGCTCTTTGGCATCGACTCAACTCGCCGTGTTTGGAGGAGGAGGAATGCTGCCTATGACCCCAAGAACACCATCCCCACCGTCAAACATGGAGGTGGAAACATTATGCTTTGGGAGTGTTTTTCTGCTAAGGGGACAGGACAACTTCACCGCATGAAAGGGACGATGGACGGGGCCATGTACCGTCAAATCTTGGGTGAGAACCTCCTTCCCTCAGCCAGGGCATTGAAAATGGGTCGTGGATGGGTATTCCAGCATGACAATGACCCAACACACATGGCCAAGGCAACAAAGGAGTGGCTCAAGAAGAAGCACATGAAGGTCCTGGAGTGGCCTAGCCAGTCTCCAGACCTTAATCCCATAGAAAATCTGTGGAGGGAGCTGAAGGTTCGAGTTGCCAAACGTCAGCCTCGAAACCTTAATGACTTGGAGAAGATCTGCAAAGAGGAGTGGGACAAAATCCCTCCTGAGATGTGTGCAAACCTGGTGGCCAACTACAAGAAACGTCTGACCTCTGTGATTGCCAACAAGGGTTTTGCCACCAAGTACTAAGTCATGTTTTGCAGAGGGGTCAAAAACTTATTTCCCTCATTAAAATGCAAATCAATTCATAACATTTTTGACATGCGTTTTTTTGGATTTTTTTGTTGTTCTGTCTCTCACTGTTCAAATAAACCTACCATTAAAATTATAGACTGATCATTTCTTTGTCAGTGGGCAAACGTACAAAATCAACAGGGGATCAAATACTTTTTCCCCTCACTGTAGCCCCTCTGCCATGGGAGACCTGGGTTACAAACACATTTTACAAAGAATAGCGAAGCCATTGCTAAACAGCACAATTAAAGGTAAAATGTCAAACGTCCTTAAATGAGCAGCAAATAAAAGTGTAATTTAACATGGGTAAAACATAAATGCTAAGCAGATGAAGCCAACGTACGTACTACATGAAATAGAATAAGAATAACAAGAAAATATTGGACGAAAATGTATTTTTCTTGTTACCAAATAAATCGTTGCTCTTTAACACTTGATGAAGTAGCGCAGCATCCCTTTGCTCACGGTAAAACCCAACCAAGTGACATCGATTGATGAGCAAAGCGCGATCGGCCAAGGGTCTGATTTTTGGCGACGCTATCTCCACAGGGCGACTCCGGCGGCCCTCTGGTGTGCGAGAAGAACGGCGTGTGGAACCTCGTGGGAATCGTGTCGTGGGGCAGCAGCTCGTGCTCCACCTCCATGCCTGGCGTGTACGCACGCGTCACCGCCCTGCGCAGTTGGATCGACCAGACCATCGCTGCCAACTAGACTGGTGTTCAAATTGTGAAAAGTAAAATTGCTTATATTGTAACTCGCAAATTAAGTCTCTCAATAAAACAATGGAATCAAATATGAGCGGGTTTATTTTTCACCTCCGATTTCCCCGCACCTCCAATTAACACGGTAGGCTACGGATGGTGCGAAAGAAGTTCAGCATACGTAGAGCTTAGTAAACAATGTTCCGTAATGAAAACATTGTTATTCGTCTGAATTGCTAAATGCTTGGTTGCTGTGAATTCTGTAATGCATTCCAAGGACAGCATATCTTCTACATATATCTTGTGCACCGAAGAATACATATTTGGTCCTGTTGTATATATAGGCCTTTTCCTAAAATTGATATTAAGAATAATTCTGCCAATATATTTTCAATAATAATCAATCAGAGTGTAGCATGAGGCACAAAAAAAATTAACAACCACCCTCACCCCTCACAGAAGCTGCCTTCCACAAGTCACACCAGGCAAGGAAGTAGCCATAAAAGGTAATTAAAAAAAACACCCCGGTGCAAAAAAGGGAGAGGGGGGGGTTGCTAATGAGATTCTGGGGAAATCTCTACACAGCTTCAAAGACCGCCTCAACAGCACATACAAATAATAGGCGCCACGAGAACCAAACAACTTATTCTTTATTGATTTTTGTTTGTTGTTCCTCTTAATACAACGGTAAAAGTTCGAAACTTAGCGACAAGAATAAGTCGACATCATAGACTGCCAACACACCTAGATTAAGAACCAGACTGCAGTGGTTTTTTATTATTGCTTACCTTATTTTACTCTTATTCACCTCATATTGTTTCTTATTGTATCTTTCTATCTACGTGACTTTACCAAAAAGAACCAAGGAATATTAATTCCAGCAGTCAAGAAAGCTTAAGTGAAAACTTAGTTATATCTCCAACCTCAGGATATCAAATATAACTCGAGAATAAACAGCACGGATCCCTGGATACAGACGGGGAACAAAGGTTAATAAAACCCTAGGTATACATGTGGTTGTAACGATGATAAATCACAAATCTTGGATAAACATAAACCAAATAATAATTATGAAGTATTACACCGAGGGTCATCCAGAAGAATACAATGCGAAACAGGTCAATCACACACGACCAAGACAATGCATTCCATATAGAGAGCCTCCCAACCGCCTTTATCTTCCAAAAGCACGTGGTAGCAATAAATCACATACACATGAGGAGGGCACCTTCCCTTGAGATATCGAAAACCATGAAGGAATTCCAAACCATGATGGAAGTACTGTAAACACTGCTCCAAACAAACCGTGAGTCACTTACAGAGTCAGAACTGCAAAAAGTGGTACGGTATCAAGCTATACAGTAAGAGGAAAAATAATAGTTTTAACTTCCAACCGGTACGAGAGAACACGACTTCAAAGGCCACAGCACCCCTCTTTGTGAGAGACAAGAGAATGCAACACCCCAGCCGCGAGGGAAGAGGGGGGGGAAGAATGCAACCGGGCAAAGGAACCCCTCCCTCCTTCCAGATTAATTATTGAAATCAGAACACACACGTACACCGGACAAACAATTGCCCCCGCAGCAAAGAGCGAAATCAAAGGAATTCGAGTCCTTTGTGAGAAGGCGGGCAGAAGGGAGAAAATTTCACATAAGCAAGGACACAGATTATGCAACTCATTTCTGCGAGCGGCAGGCTCCGGAAACCTGCCCCCATGACAGGCACATCGATAGGGAGTGGCATCAGCAGAAGCCATGAGTTGCGGAGAACATCTTTTGTTTTTCGGTTTTTTATTGTTTCTTTCACCATTGAGAGCATAATCAGCGCAACCGAGTGAGTGTCGGCACCGTCGACCTACGGACGCGCTGCGAGCGCAATCGTGGCTTGCCAGAGAGCACCGAGCAAGAGTGCCAGCCCCGGCGACCTGCAGCTGAGCTGCGAGCACGATCGAGCACCTTCAAAGACAAGGGTCGTTCCGACTCCGCTCACATACATGCAGCTACTGCCGAGAGACAGGGAGAGCCGTGTGTATGACACGCCCACACACACACTCATCGCCCAGCAGGGGACTAAGGCATAATTGGTACAAGAAACGCCCCACCTCGGCGTCTGCTTAACGCAAAGAGTTGAGCAAGGAGACAATACACCAACACACACATAACGCACATATCGGGACTAATAAGAGTACTCCAAAGTTATCTTTGTGTTTCAAAAAGGGTGGCCATCCTAAGGTGGTGCGCCAACTATTAACTGATCATGAAAAGCATTGCTGAACAATTGAGTTACGTAGATACGGTCGTTTAGAAGTATTTTAGTCATTCTTTTTGTTAATTGCATAATCTATACCAATGAATTCATTGATGAAGCTAAACATTTAGAAACATCTATGTTACGAATCTACACATTCACAGGGAGACTATTGTGTTGAAGTGTTTCTTTTGATCACAGAATCTTGCCCGCGAATTTATTGAAGCCTTAGCCAATGGATAAGCATTTGCTGAAGCAGGCACACTGCCGCACACCATTGCTCCAAGACGTTGTTAATTGCATAATCTTACCAATCAATTCATTGAGGTCTACTCTTGCTTTCGGGACATGTTTCTTTGTTGCTGTTCGTATAGTTTTGATTGACTGGATTTAACTGGGACCACAGGAGCTTTAGAAGATGTCACATTGACCAGCACTTATGCCTTCTGCTATGGATCTGTTGCCAGCTTACCCTGTCCCTCTCCTTCCGTGAATCGTAACGAGGGGACAAGTCGGTGAAATAAACAATAATAACAAAGTTCGGAGGCGATGAGTAGATACTCCGTGTTGTGTTCTGTCCTCCTGAGAATTATGGCGACTCCACGACAGCTGAGCACCAGCGATTTGTGAAACGGCAACAGCAACGCTTTATTTCAAAGTGTTCTTCCGAGGAGCCTTCGCGTGCCTGCAATCATGACCAGACACACCCCTCCCATCACCCTCCACGTCACACAACACCTCAGCTCAGTCCCTCAGCACGGAGTCCACCCCAAATCTAAATTGGGGGTGTCCTCCCTACTCACACTGCTGAGCGTGGCCTACTGTGTACGCGAGGCTTGGGCCCTATCTCTGATCATCATTGCCTACACATAAATATAAAAATACGCACCTGGCTCTCCATAGGAATTAGGGGTCGTCCATAAATGACGTCACGCACCTGGGGGGGGGGGGGGTCAGACATTTGTGACGATGTGTGATGAGAGGGGGGGGTTTGAGAAATGTCACATCAAAATGCGCAACTTTAAATAAATATAGACAACACGTTCTACTTAATTCTATATACTTTTTAATAAATGTTTTCTCCTACAACATCAGAGTGCAGCGGTACATTAAATACGCACTACAATGACAAAAGTTTAAAGCGATTTGAAGCATGTTTTATTTTTGGGGGGGGGAGGGGGGCAAAGCTTTGTGACGTCATATTTGAGGGGGGGGGCTGACTTTTTGTGACGCCATGTGACGATGGGGGGGGGGTCAAAAAATCGTCCAAAATCGCGTGACGTCATTTATGGACGGCCCCTTACAGCAACACGTAGCAGAGTGCAAATCATCACAGATAAGCTAGCAACAGCTGCAAATACGCCAATGGTAGCCTAATCTCTTTGTCAACGGTTTTACTTACATTTCCATTTAGTGACTGCAGGGATTCATCTTCTTGGTTCTTTCGGTACAGTCACGTAGAAGGGAAATAATAACATAATAACATGAAATTATCACGACGTTTCGGCCACAATACAAGCAGCCGTCCTCAGGTGAATAAACAGAGCTGTCGGAAAGACAGCGCTTGTGTTGTGGCCGAAAAGTCGTTAGACTTTTATTATATTACTAGCGGTTAGTACCCGGCGTTGCCCGGGCGAAAAAGGCAGACACACACATGGACTTACAAACAGACATGGACCCATACACATAGAAACCCACTGACTTACACGCACGCAAACACATATGGACTCACACACACAGACATCGACTCGAGAGACACATGTAGTTACACACACAAATGGACTTAAACACACAGAGTTGCACACACATATCGACTCACACATACATACATAGACTGAACAACAACCGCCATTCGCCACTAAGTGGCAGTGATGTCACCACAACGCTTGTGGCAGGCTATGTGCACCTTGAGGCCACGTGAAGTGTCGAACACCTGCTGGCAGGAGGTCACGGGGCAGACAAAAATGGCACAGGTCGACTGAGATGACTGGCAGATGCACCACCCTGTACCCTGCTAACTTTCAGTGCTATAGCCACACGGTGCACCGTTCGTTCTTGTGAGCGTCGCTCCTCCGCCCTCCGTTGTTGTTGGAGGCCGACTGCCTCCAACTGGCCTGTAGCGTCCTTCACGAGGCTCCTCCACAGATACCGACCTTGACACCGCTGGTAGCAGTCATCGACAAGTCCACTCAGCTGCACATCGTCCTGTAGCACATTACTCCATCTCTTCTCTAGCCTGTGCCGCGCCCGTTTAGAGACCTCGATCCGGCGAAACAAAAGGTGTTTAGGCATGCGGTGGCTGAGCATGCAGGCTACATGGCCCAGCCAACGCAGGCTTGCCTTGCCATGCAGGCTACATGGCCCAGCCAACGCAGCCTTGCCTGGCCATGCAGGCTACATGGCCCAGCCAACGCAGCCTTGCCTGGCTTAGGAGGTCACCAATGGGACTTTGTCCAGATCTTTCAAGTATTTGTGAGCTCATCACACAATCCAGCCTGGTTAAACCCAGGATGGATCGTAGACAGGCCAGCCTAAATGTTTGTAACCGGCGAAAATGTTGCATTAGGGGGGTCCAAGTTTCGCAAGTGTAGAGAAGGGAGGGAATGACCGTGGGCGAGACGACGTGGAGCTTCGTGCGGAGCGAGAGACCAGGTAGCTTCAACACAGTGTTACACAGCCGATGAAAAGATAATGCCGCTCATCTGATTCAGAGTGAGACCTCTGGTGTTAAACCGGAGCCGGTCATGAGTACACTGGGCAGGTATGGGAAACTCTGCACTCTCCACAACTGGCCCATTACCAATTGTGAGTTATGGGGGTGGATTGTCCGATGGTACAAAATACCCAGGCAGGTGCTTAGTTTTGGTGGGGCT